TTTAATATTTCAGTCGTGTCAAAATTCATGTTTTATACTGTACAACCTCTTATTATAAACAAAATATTTGTAGCACTGACATCATGAATAAAATAAAATAAAGTAGAAATTTTAAAGGTTAATTAATTTAAATGTACTTTTTACATTTAGGGGTTACACGTTCACCAGTTACAGTTCCAGTGTTATTAAAGTTTAGAGTAACATCTTAAACTATTCTTTCACGTAAACGTATTTACATCAATAAATATCATAAAAACTAACTGCCTGAAATAATAGTCATGTTATGACATTAGCCTTTCACATACACAAAGCTCCGATCACTTCCGATCTACCTTCGTAGGCTTTTAGAAAAACGATGCAGCTGCGTAAAATGATTTGATATTAAATCCTATATTAATGTCTGAATGAGCGATAGGGAACAGAAATAATTTAAAATAAGTTCATTTTCTCGAAAATAGCATGTTACATACGGGACATTCCAATTTTCAACGCTGACTCAGCGCTGATCTCAACATTCGTTAAAATTCGTTCCTTTTTTCAACGTTGAGGTAGCGCTGTTGTCAGCGCTGACTCAACACACTCAGCACTCAACAGATATGTTGACTGCTACTTTCCAATGAATTGTGGGTAATTGATAAGACATTTGAATGGAATCCATCTTGCTGAGAATGGAATTATGGGAACTAAGCAATTCGTACTCGAGTTGGAACGTCGTTGATGACGTCAACTTGTTGACTTTAACACTCAACACTCGCGTTGAAAATTGGAATGTCCCGAAAGTAAATAAATGGTGGTTTCCTTAAAATTTATTTTTACATAATTGCCATTCGACGAAATTCTACAATTGCTAATTATTATATTATTTGATATCTAAAATCAAGATACAAATAAGATAAATAAGAAATTCAGTCTACGTATCTGACATACGAAGACGAAAAAAGACAATTACGCCTATCAAACTCATTCAGCTACACATAAGTTAAAAATATATTTATTTTTTTACTGTTCGAAAATTTTCATAAGTTCTTTCATCAATATTTAAAAGAAAATTTCGATTATTTAGTTCAATTAAAACAGTCAAACAAGGCATCTTCGCTCGTTGTCTTAGCAAAAAGCTAGCGCTTCTCAACCTCGCTAACGATATTTTGAAGCGTTTCGAGATGGCGCTGCAAGCGAGCTAAAATATGGAACGAGTTTTAGCACTGCGCTGACATCTTGCTGACGTCTCGCTGAATAACGGGATGCGTGGTAGATGTCGGCTCGCTGAACCGCAGTTTAAAATGTATTGTAAAGACAATGATCGTCTAAGTTCAGAGAATCCTTCCACGAAAAGAATAAGTTGTCACAAAACACGTCAGGTAGGCCGAGACGAGTGAGTAATCACGTGACCGAATGGCATCGCGAAATGCCACGTGACATGCTTTGTACTGTACGCGTCTAATGTGCCGCTCCGCGACGAAAACAAGCTTTAAGCAATGGCGTCTCTTCGAACGGTGCACACTCGGTAAATATTCCTACAATGTTTTGTTTATAGCATATTTTATATGGATCATTCCCAAAAAATTATACGTGTTTTGGAAATTTTCGAGTCAAATTAGTCTAGAGTCATTAATTTTATGCAAGAAAACCTTTCAAATTACACAAATGCCGATCGTCTATTTCTAAACGTCGTCTAAACGAACCTCGACAAAACGTTGGCTATAACTTTCTTCTCTATTACTCCTCGTTTTTAGGAGTTGTTCAACCAATCAGATTATTTGTGCGTGACGTCAGAAACATGGCGACTGTGTCGAAAACATGTAGGAATTTTTCCGAAGAGGAAAAGAACGTCCTGACTGAAGTTATTAAAAATTATCCTGTAGTCGAGGAGAAGGGGTATGATAACCGTACTCTAGCGGCGAAAAAAACCGCATGGGAGAAGATTCAAGTCGAATTCTCCTCATCATTTCCCCGTAGAGCAGCTCGTACAATAGAACAATTGAAAGGCAAGTATGAATGTAAAATATTCATTTTAAGATTATAAGATGTTAATTAATATTTTTAACATTTAAACAGCATATTTAATTTGAGAAAAGTTTACTAGGAAAGTATATCCTATAATCTATGTTATAGGTTGCTGGAAGCGATTAAAAATAGATGCCAAAAAAGAGGCAGATAATAACCGATATGCTGCACATATAACAGGTGGAGGACCAGCACTATCATCGTTGAATCCTGCCACTCAAGTGGTTTCATCTGTTTTGGGTGATGGTATTGAACCATTATCCAATCCAGATGATCCACCATCACCACTTATCATTAAATGTGAAAATAATACTGAAATACTTACAGCTACAAATGAATGCTCTAATTCAGGATTATTTTCACCTGTAATGGTAAGTGATGCAGCTGTTAAGAAAAATATGGAAGTGGCAGATGATCCATCATCAACTAAAGGAAAACTGTAAATAATATTCAGATAAAATAATACTAAATATTAATAATTACTTTTTAAAAAATAATTATTCATATTATATTTATAGCATTAACTCATCATTAGAAAAAGTCCAAATCCTGCTAATGGAGAGCATAAAAACAGAGAAAATGAAACAAGATACAGAAAAGAAAAAGCAAGAAGCAGAACAACTTAGGATAGAGGTGTTAAAGTTAAAAAAGTTGAAACTACTGAAAGAACTAGGATTATCATAAGTTAAATACATTTAATTATTATAAATATTAAAATGTTTAGCTAAGAGTAGTCATATCATATTAATAAACAATTAGATGATGATGGAAAAATATCAAAGACACAATACACTAAAAATTATAATCTTTATTTTCATATAATGTGTAATTATTTCAGTAAGTTGTATTGCATAAAAGAACAGCAAAAGTGAAGCATGATCCATACATAATATATATATATATACAATTGTATCAAACAGCTATTTAGCTATCATTTGTGATTACAGAATCATGTTTAACATATATCAAATTCTTTATTCACATTCTCTTTTATCCTGTATGTCAAAAAGTATGTAAGTTATAAACAGTTTTACACAAATACCTCTTAATTATTATATACAAATATTTAATTAAAAATGCTATAAATAGCAACTGTCTAATGAAAATTTTTGAAGTACAGTAGAGCCTTGAAAACTTGGTCTAATGTGGACCGAAGGGTGGCCGAGTTTGTGAAAATGCCGGGTTATCGGGAATGGGGTTAAAAAAGGATAAGTATGCGTGTTTCCTCAGAAAATATTGTACTGTATTTGTATGTATTGTTTGCTTGAGAATACAACAGAGAATAAACTGCCCAAATACCCTTGAACAAAGGAAAAGTACGTCCTTTATGAAGGCATAGAGCCTTTACTACATGAAAATGAAAATTAATGAATACACTGTCTACAGTAATTTACCTGATAAGACAGACCTTAGAAAAATACTTTATGAGGCATAAAACTGTCTATAATGAAAATTAATTAACTAAGGATTTTTTTGTCCTGCCAGGGTGTGGCCGAGTTATCCGGAGTGCCGAGTTTTCGAGGCTCTACTGTAATACATTTACAGATTAACTTGCTTGATTACATAAATTTCACTAATATATGTTGAGTAAATTAAAACTCACTTTTTGCACTATTTATGAAAATACTACCTTTTGTTTATCAAATAAAGCATACTAGAAGAACAGATATTAAAAATAAGTTATTTTAATATTTTACAATATGGAATTTTCATATTTTATATCTAAGTAACATGTTAATTAAGTCCAAGATGTAGGTTTTAAGCAAAATTTTGAAACTTGTAAATAAAATGAAGACATCAATTCATATTTCTAGCTCAACTTTCTATGAATAAATTGTATAATGACTTTAAAACTGTTTTTAACCACATCAAATACATAAAATGTCAACATAAATCTGATAATTTTAAACTAAAATAACCAAATATTTGGTAGAACAAACATTAAACTAAATATATTTCTAAAAGAAATTTGAATTGAGAAACCCCACTTTAAATCTTTTTGAGGAAATATGAATGAATAAAACCATTGTATGAATGTTTATTTAATTTGTTATGTAGATTATGTTAAGTCATATTTTTATTATTGAAAATGAATAAAAAGAAAATTATTTTGTCTGTGATAGGCTCACTCTTTATCATATTGTATGGTCCTGAAAAGGACCTTTTGTCATATTCCTAAAGTACTGTTTCATTCAACTAAAATGTTGCAGTACAATAGATCTTCAAAGAGCAGATCCTTGTTGAAATTTCCTCCTGTTTTTCTTCATTTACATGATCAGTAATAAACTGTTCCTCTTTAAAATCAATGGCCCAATTATGCAAAATTTCTATAGCTATTACCATGTTAAGTGTATTGTCTAATTTAGTTCACAAACAACTAACAATGCATGGAAATCATCTTTTCAAGATGCCAAATAATCTTTCAATAATACTTCTTGCTCGTGAATGAGCTTTGTTATACTCTTTCAGCATAATTCTGTGGTTGTAAAAATGGTGTCATTAAATATGGCACACAAGGATAGCCACTGTCACAAACTAAATATCCATTACAATAACTTTGGTGAAGTTTTTTTTAATACTATTATTAGTAAAAATTTTACTGTCATGTTGAACCTGGCCATCTAGCAACAATGTTTCTAATTTTCATCTTTCCATCACAGATTACCTGAAATGTACATTTAAACATGCATCAATTATATATTTTTATTAAAGTTATTAGTGTGAAATATCAAAGATATTATTTGATATTTTCATTTTTATATGTCAAAGAAATAATCAAGAATAAAACTGTTTTATAACAAGGTAACAATTTAAAATGTTAGAAAAATATATAGGTCATTGCATATTTAATAGTCATTTAAGCTACAATAAATTACAGTTACAAAAATATTTGTGGAGAACAATAAAATTGTATTTTATTTTATTGTTCTCCACAAATGTTTTTGTATTTCGATAAAATTGTATTTTATCGAAATTTAATTTAAAGACGTAATTTTCTTAATTAACCTCTTAATTAAGTAAAGATGATATTGTATGTAAATAATATGACTTTTCGATTATAAAAAGGTTGAGCTCTACTGTTGTTAGGACACTGAATAGAAATATGAATACAGTCAATTGCCCCAATTATTTTAGGAAAATTATCCTTGGATAGTACGGAAAAATCTTGTATAACAGACAGAAGTTCAGATTCTGTTGGAAATACAATTTCGGCATTCTTCAATGAACTAATGCCTTGGAAACGCTTTGGATGGTTCTGATAACGTTATGGCGATAATTAATAAAGAATACAATATATAACTTAATACAAACGTTAAACAAGACATCATTATAAGCGTCTCTTCAATTTACAAAAAACTTTTTAAATTTTTAAAAAGTTTTTTGCTTTAAAAGCTATTTAAAATTTTTTTTAAAAATTTTTTAAATAGAAGCAGTTTAAAAAGTTGGAAAAATGATAGTGTGAAGAATTTCTTTGTGTTTTTAATTGTAAAAGTGTCAGAAACCTACAATGAAAGGCTGACACTTGATCTTTTTTAACCTTGTGAGATTTTTTACCAATTTTTACCTGTGTATAAGAAGAGTTCTTCAAAGCATTTTTTTTTAGACTGTTACTTCTATGGTAGTGTATAAGGGATAAAGATGGACTCAAAAGTTATTTTAGACTTTTTGTACATAGTCCAAACTTCAAATTATTATTTAATGTAGTTTGATAGATACCTGCTTACAGTAGAGACGTGAACTCCGATAAGATTACCAGCTACCCTCTGAAAGTTTTTGGTGGCGTAAAGTCGTAATGCCGTCAACAACTGTTGCTCAGTAGTTAATGGCAATCATCGTCTATCTAGATGTTTAATTTATTCTCCAATATGATTTAAAATACAAACAAATCCTGGGCCGTGTTTAGTAATATAGAATTCTTGCTAAGTCTATTTATACTGCGATGTAGAACTCGTTCCTAATTACTGCTTGACTTTTTGACTATTTCCACCGCTAGAATTCTAGCTAGTTCAGTCATCATCTTTTATCTATGGGGTCGTTGCTAAATTCAGCAGTGATGCAGCGGTTGCAAGAAGCTTAAAGCGAAATTGTTGCTAATAAGATTGCTGCGTGTAAAGCGAATGTTCAGTTTGAGAGTATAACTTACAGCAGTGCTTTTTTCACTTTATCAAGATGGTTGCGCTCATGGATCGACTCGTAAAGTTTGACAATCTTTGATTATAAGGCTATTTTCAATATATTAAATAATAAATACATAAGAATTTAAACGCTTGTTCGATGACTACTCTTGGTGAGCTTAATCGTGAAAGCGGCGCTCAACGTCTGACGTACACGTTTTCGCGTTTAAAACTTCGGCCTCAACCTCGCTATTATCTTTCGTCAAGGATCTTTAGCAAAAGTACGTTTAAATCAATTAATTAATTAATTAACATTAGAGAGGTTGAGGCGCACATATTCAGCCCAAAACGTGAATGGCGGACGGACGAGCGCCGCCATCTGGCAAGTCTAGAAGATTGACAACGACCGTTCGTTATGTCTATTATTGCGAGTAGAAGTTGGGTTTAAACTTCATTTTTTTGTGTTTGTGGTTAAAGTTATGGCGTATTTTATTAAAATAATGATTATTTAAACATTTACGAATGATATTGTAAAGAAACAGACGATTTTAATCCAGAAATTATTTAATTATTCAATTTTTTAGCATGTGATGTGCCTATAGAATTTACATATATTTGTCTTCATAATAGCTTATTTTAAGATAGGTTTGTTCTTCTACGGCATCTTCTACCATCAACAGCGTAATAAGTTTGTAAATTTTTAAAAAATTAATTTTTCGAGCTGCTTTCGAATTTATATAAGCCACTACTTCCCTCGACAAAAGTATGAGCTAGTCCAGGGGTCGGCAACCTTTTGAGTGGGAAGAGCCAAAAATTACAATTTACAAAATTTCAAAGTTTTTAAAGAGCCACAACATTTTTTCTTGCCAACAATAAATAGTACTCGCATAAATAAAGTTTGTTGATAAAAAAAACTAATCTATTTATTCAGAATTGTCTTGCGTTGAAAGCGAATTAAACCTCATAGTGTGAAAGCGAATTAAACCTCATAGTTGAAAGCGAATTAAACCATCCCACCACGGTGTCATTTGAGAGCTTCCGACAGACTGACAGCAGTGACGACGCGTGTCACGGGGGAGGGGTGCGATGAAAAGCGAGTACAAGTGGCTGAGAGATAGAATCGGTGCCGAATCCTCGTTAATCGATTCAGAACGATTTTTAAATGTTTTCTTTTTTTTTGATAAAATAAATAATATTTGCATATGGAACTAAAGAGCCGCAGCTTCACATCCAAAGAGCCGCATGTGGCTCGCGAGCCGCAGGTTGCCGACCCCTGAGCTAGTCAATCGTACGGTAGGAGACACAACTCTAATTAAAAATAATTATTTAGTGTGAGGGCCCGGATTTATGATTCGAATATTTTTATTCATTAGATTAAAAGTTAGGGTTAACACAAAAAGGGAAAAACAACCGACAAATTTTCTCATAAAAATCGCTCATAAAAACTCCGTTCCCACGACAATACTTCCCTGTAGAAGATGAGTTAACTGTTTGTCATAAGTTTGTCACTTCGCCCATCATTGGTCAAAGAAGATCATCACCTGTGACGTACATGGAGAAATCTCGAAAAAAGAGCCCCCATATAAAAGGCAAGTGCGATGACGACACAAGGGGGGAAATTAAGTTCTTTTCTCTATACTGTGAGTGTGTGCCCGTGGATTTACCTGCATCTCGTCTCCACCGTCTTTAATAGACTTTGAACTTCGACTTCGAACTTTGGACTGATTTGAACTTTGAACTTTGAACTTGGAAGGACGAACCTCGGATCAACGTTATAACAACCTAATCAGAGGTATTTATCCTACACGCGATGATGTGTAAGCTCTCTCTCGAATATTCGAACCTCGCGGGTAGGGTCGCGACTTATAGTTCATAAAGTAACTTTGCCGTTACTTTATGAACTATACGGATTGAACCCGAGAGGGATTGTATTCCAATTATTAACCATGTATAAATGTACAGAATAAACGGGTATTTTGTTAACGAACTTGGATTGGTGTGCGT